CAGCAGTGGGGCAGCAGGAGCAGGGCAGTGACCGTCCCCCTGGGCTGGGCAGCGCTGCGGCCAGAGCTGGGAGTGCTGTGTCCACTTGTGGGCCCATGTGAAGCAGAAAGTCCTTGAGGGGCTGGAGTGTGTGCAGAGAAGGACACGGGAGCTGGGGAAGGGTGTGGAGCGCAATCCAAGGAGGAGGTGCTGAGGGAGTTTCAGCCTGGACAACGGGAACCACCTGATGGACCTTCAGGCACACTTCCATAGATCCATACGTGACAGTGCTCACCACCAGGGCTGTTTCCCTGCCAAACATGCCCTCACTGCCTTCCTGTTTTTTAGCCACCTGAGGAGGGGACACTTTTGATTTCTGGAACTGGTTTGTTGCTTTGCTAGGAGGAGAAGCCCTGCCCATTTTCTCTCTTTCCAGCAAGCAAAGCTGCTTCTGCACAAACTTTTCCTGCCCTTCTCATTCACTGGATGGGATTCTGATCCATTTTAAGTTTTCTATGTCTGCTGCAGCAATAGCAAAGGCCATGGTGTCTCTTTCCTACTTCTCCAGAGCTCTCAAGAGCCAAAAGCTCCGTTGTGCTGAGGCAATGTTGCTTGCTATAGCAGCCAGAAAGGACTATCAATTTCATAGAGATTATCAAATAGAGTTCTGTTGAGTTAGCCCATTTTAATCTTGTTGGAGTGATTAAGAATCTCAATCATAACAAAGTCGATGATTTCATCTTTGAAGAGGTGGTTGCGGATCCGAGGAGAAATTTGATTATAAATGAGAGGTAACGGCCTGTCCCTCATGCTTCTCTCTTACCATAGATGGCAGAAGAATCAGCGGTCTCTGCCCCGGCTCCATCTGCTTCTGGTGAAGAAGCCAAAGAGGAGCAGCAAACTGAGGAGTATGACCACGAGGCTCCATCAGTGGTTACACCAGAACCTGAATCTTCTGAGCCAGTATGTGCTAGTTATGGGTGGTGCTGTCTTTAGTGCAAGGCAGAGCTGCAAGTTTCACTTTTGCATTTCTGAGCTTTGAAGATTTAAATGGTCAGTTACACAAATAGATCATTGGTACCAGACACTAAGCAGAGTGGAATATTTAAGTCTACATAATTTGATTTACAGTCGGATTATCCAATTTCAATGCCAGGAGAGTGCCTTAGAATCCCATTACAATCAAGGTTTCTCAGTTTTCCTTGGAAGATATGGTGGTAGATGTGAGAAGAAAGCAGGTTAAAAAAGATTGGTAATGGCCTGTCCCTCATGCTTCTCTCTTGCCTCAGATGATAGAGACGGCAGCAGTGTCTGCCCTGGCTCCGTCTGCTCCTGGAGGAGAAGCCAACGAGGAGGAAATCGAGGGGAATCCATGCTGCTTTCTGACAGAGGAGACCTTCCCTGGCTATTTGACACTTGCAGTACTGGAGGTTGGCTATAGCTCAGCATAAATTCACAGGCCAATAGAGAGTGCTTGCATGGTGCTGTCAGAGCATGGCTGCCATGTGGTCATGGTGACAGCAAAAGGTTGTCTTGGTGCATGGAAGTCCTCAGTGTCAGAGCAACTCGAGGGCTTGCTCAGGAAAATAGCATCCTCCTGCTTGAGGCATTTGTCAGTGGGAGCTGCCCAATGACAAAAGCCTTGTTTTTCCTAGTGTTGCAGCATAGCCTTTCAGGCTTTCAGCAGTGCTACAGTGATTGAAGGACTCACTGTTTCAGCTTTCACAGCTTACGGAGTTTGTTATTCCAGCTACTACCTGACCAACCTTGCATGTAAGTAGAGGTTTTCCCTGGGTGTACCCGAACCTGGCTTTTGTATGTCTTCCTGCTCTTTCTTAGTGCCTGAGTTGTTTTGAAACAGAAAGAGCACCAGGGTGCCACTGGTTTGGTAAAGCTCCTGTCAAGGAGTTCAGCTACAAGGGGATTTCTGCAGCCACAGGGGCAGCATTTGCAAGGGGACCTGCAGGGTTCTGTTTCCTCCACGGGAGAGTCTGAGGCAGCGGAGTCTGTCATTTCCTCAGTTTGCTGGGACAAGCAAGACAGCTTTGAAAATGTAAATTGGAGACCTCCTTGGAAGACCTTCTAACAACTCTGCAGTTGTTCCCAGAATTCAGGGAAAGCTTCTTCTGTCTTTCTACATTTTGTCATGAAAGGATTTGACTGTCTAACTTGACCCTTGACTGAGTGTTAAATAGTGATTCCCTTTGCAAGGAAGTGCAAACTCCAAAGCAGGGAGTGTCTGCTCCTGGACCCTGGAGCTGCTGCTGTGCTGTGTCACGATAGAACTGCCACAGGTCAAGGGGTGTTTGGGGAAGTTTTTCTGGGCATCTTCCAGAAAGTTAATGAGACTTAGTGCCAGCCACTGAGTTAAAGAAAGAAAAAGGATCTGAAAGAGAGGATAAAAGAAGCTGCTTTATATGTTTGGCAGAACAGGAGCACCTAATGTTAAAGAACAATTTGCATTTTCTTCATCATATTTCTATTCATTTACTGGCAAAACAGGCCAAAGTGTAGGCACAATCAACAATATTGTCCTGATCTCTTGCTGGTTGTGTGAATTAAATGTGTTACCTGGAGGGATGCTGTGAAAGGAAAATAATCTCTGTTTGGCTTGACATGTTCTGGGGGATTCACCAGCCCACGTAGTTGTCTGACAGCATCTGGTTATTTTTCCTTGTCCACTACAGGCCAAGTGATCCATTTATTCAGAAGTACAGATCATGAGGTGAGTGAAAAAGGAACATTTCAAGATTCTGGTGTTTAAAAATTATAGAGTAAGCTGAGAGCATGGCCAGTAGCAGTAAAATGAAGAGAGCCAGCTGGTTAGGCCAAAAAGAAAATGCATGTTAATGCTTGCAGCAGCAATAACAAAAGCATCACTGGCTAATTCATAAACTTTTCCATTTCAGAGCTTTCAAGAATTAAAAAGTCAATTACACAAATAGAACATTGGTACCTGATAGTAGGCAGGGTGGAATATTAAATTGAGAGCAATTTGGAGTTTAGTTATATTAGTCAATTTTAATACCATGAGAATGCCTTAGAATCCCATTGGAATCAAAGTTTCCCAAATTTCCTTGGAAGTATGGTGGTAGATGTGAGGAGAAATGAAGTTATAAATGACAGGTAACGGCCTGTCCCTCATGCTTCTGTCCTGCCACAGATGACAGAGGCAACAGCAGTGTCTGCCCTGGCTCCCTCTCCTCCTGGTGAAGAAGCCAAAGAGGAGGAAATTGAGGAGTTTGACCACGAGGCTCCATCAGGGGTCACAGCAGAGCCTGACAGTTCGGAGTCAGTAAGTGCCAGTTGTGGGTGGTGCTGTCTTTAGTGCAAGGCAGAGCTGCAATTTTCTGAGCAGCCAGCTCTTGCTGTTGCTAGCGGAGGATGCTGAGTGCTGGAGTCCTGCCAGGAGCCAGCGATTTCCTGCAGGCAGTGAGCTCCGGCTAGAAATTGGCCTTGGAGCTGTCACGTTGAGGCAGCAAAGCCTGTTGCCTCAGGGTGAGCGCCTGTCTGCTCGGCTCAGTGAAGCTCTGTCTCTTGGTTTCTGCAGGGCCATGGCCAATGGCACACAAGGTAGTGCTGGAGGTCTCAGGGCATGGTTTGTTTGCTTTCTCTTTGGGGAAACGTGTGTTTGGCTGGTGAAATTGCTCTGCAGCTTTCTTCAGTAATTCATCACTTGAGTAATTCTTCACAGTTCCTTTAGCCCTCCTTTCTTTTCGCTTTTTCATATGCTGCAAGGAAATGATTTGGTTGTCCATGAATCTGTGGGGGACAATATTCTTTCCTCTCTGGCCAAAGAAATGAAGTATGTAGTTGTGAAGCCCTCTTGTGCGGCAAAAAGCACAAGGAGAAAAGTTCTGTGGATGCATTTTTCGGTGTAGACTGCAGCTTTGGAAAGCGCATTGGAGCCTGGAGGCAGGCTGAAGCTGCAAGTCTTTGACTTCAGTCCAGTGTGGCTCAGAAGAGGAAGGACATCTTGAAATGGCGGATGCCGTGTTTTTAGTGCAATGCGCAACTTTGTGGCTCAGGCAGTCAAGAGCAGCTGAAGGTGGGCCAGCGCCTGGCCAGGTAGCCAAGAAGGCCGAGGGCATCGTGGCCTGTGTCAGCAGCAGTGGGGCAGCAGGAGCAGGGCAGTGACCGTCCCCCTGGGCTGGGCAGCGCTGCGGCCAGAGCTGGGAGTGCTGTGTCCACTTGTGGGCCCCTGTGAAGCAGAAAGTCCTTGAGGGGTTGGAGCGTGTGCAGAGAAGGACACGGGAGCTGGGGAAGGCTGTGGAGCGCAAGGCCAAGGAGGAGGTGCTGAGGAAGCTTCAGCCTGGACAATGGGAGCCTCGTGAGGGACCTTCAGGCACATTTCCATGGTTCCATACGTGACAGTGCTCACCACCAGGGCTGTTTCCCTGCCAAACATGCTTTCACCACCTCCAAGTGCTTTGGACACCTGAGAAGGGGACACTTTTGACTTGTGGCTTGTTGCTTTGCTAGGAGGTGTAGCCCTGCCCATTTTCCAACAAGCACGGATGCTTCCGCACAAATTTTCCTGCCCTTTTTACGCACTCGCTGGCATTCTGATCCAGTGTGACTTTTCCATGTCTGCTGCAGCAATAGCAAAGGCCTTGCTAGCTATTTTTACTTTTCCATTTCAGGGCTTTAAAGAGCCAAATGATCCTTTGTGCAGAGGCACTGTTGCTTGCTGATAGCAGCCAGAAAGGACTATCGAATACATAGAGTGCATCAAATAGTTATGTTGAGTTAGCACATTTTAATCTTGTTGGAGTGATTTAGAACCCCAATGCTAACAAAGTAGATAATTCCTCCTTCGACGAGGTAGTTGTGGATACAAGGAGAAAGGAGGCTATTAATGACAGGTAATGGCCTGTCCCTCATGCTTCTCTCTTGCCACAGATGGAGGAAGGAACAGCGGTCTCTGTCCTGGCTCCCTCTGCTCCTGGAGAAGAAGTGAAAGAGGAGGAAATTGAAGAGAATGACCATGAGGCTCCATCAGTGGTCAGTCCAAAGCGTGAATCTT